CTTCCAAGATGGCCGCTGTGGTGATATAGTGAAAACGAAGAATTCTTATTAATAAGGTTCTGATAATCTCTCTCTTTCTAGCTAATCCCTTGAGCAATATTTAGTTCACGACACAGGGGGCCCAGGCTCAACAGTTGTGTTGCTTTCACGGCTGTGTCAAAGTATTTTAAATTTCGTGGTTCGCGGTTCGAGCCCTCCGTGAAGCCGTAATTTTTTTCTACTTCATTTCTTGAGACTTTTCAAGACTTTCTCTTTCTTTTCTTTTTTTTAAAGGTATAAACAGTTTTATGAATAAAGATTGATTTTTAAAGCCATTTTAATATTTCCCCCCCTCGAAAATAAAAATAGACAAGGGAGGTAAGTCAGCGATCGAAATTTGCCAACCGGCTCTAAACTTCAATCTCTAAGACACCTTTAACTTCACCCAATGGACATCAAAGTCCGTACAGCTTTCGATCGATACCTATTCTCACTTGCCACCAATGTTCAGCTTCCAGTGAAAAATATTTTCCAAGATATTTTAGTCAGAAGATCAAAATACTCCAGCCTACCAATGCACGGTACTTGAACTTTCCTTACAAGTCAAACTGGCGGTATTTTTTCATCTCGATTTGAATGTCGTATGTTCTTCACTAGTCGCATATTTCTATGTAAATCGTCTGTTATACCAACTGAGGAAACAAAGATAGATTTTCAATACCTTATGTATGATGCCTCATCACAAATAAACATAACGATRCAAAGGCGGAKCCAGGGTTTTCAGGGAAGTTTGAAGGGTGTTTGGRATTTCTATAAGCCTTTTTTCCGCTTATTCGAGCGAACGTTGTTTTAGTACACAACACACCCACTTGCCTAGAGAAGAAAAACAAGCACGAAAAAATGCTGACATTATAATAGCCTTACAAATTTGAACCTTCTCCGATTTTAGGCTAAGCCTGTATTCCCAACTAGAGTTTGATTCTCCTGGTGATACAGGCTTAGCCTAAAAATAGGAGAAAATGCAAATTTGTAGTGGTATTGTAATAAAACATAATTTTGGTACTTTCTTTTTTCTGTTATGATCACTGCGAATGAGAGATTGTTGTGAACTAAAGCAGCGGTTGAACGCAGGAAAAAATTCTTATTGGTGGGACAAACACCTACCTTATTACTGAACACAATATTACAATAAGAACTATTGCACCAMAAATTGWKCCACCAATTGTATATATCATGAACCATCTTAATTCAGGAGAAATTCCAGAAGAAGTCGTTTGTGGACACTCTGGGGTACTTGCAGTTTGAGTCTGGTRCCTTGATACTGACGAGATAGTCTTTCCAATATCATTACCGATATTACGACGTGAATCAATTATGATACCGACGAGTACAGCACCGTCAATAGAGTCCCTGAGATTTGAAGCGACTCCTGGTGGAAAATTGACGTAAAATGCTACAAGTGCATAAATGCTGTCAAATGCATAAGACAGTTGCACTGGAAAACCAACAAGGTTTACTTGATCTGTAGTAAAGTTAATGAAGTTGTTTTCAGAGTGCCTGATAAAACAAACATAGAATAGAATATCACTAGTTGTTTTGGGCCGGTTCACACTGTGACATAAGCATAAATCGAAGCATAAGCTTGTTCACACTTGACAGAAGCATATTCTTCTGCTTATGATGTCCCGGTTCACACTCATAATCTTTCAACATATAAATCAAAAAACAGAAACAGAAGAAAATGAAAAAGTTTTCATTTTCATCTGCTTCCGTCTCTGCTTCTGTTTTCCCCAGCTCACACAAACAAAATACACTTCATCTGCTTCTGCTTATGTCAGAGTGTGAACCGGTCCTTTAAGCACGTTTAAAGCAAGGCGTAAAGCTAAGAAGAACATCACGTATAATAAACATTTTTTTTAATTCGTACCTTCTTTTTTTTCTTGCATAGGGTATCTCTTCTCATTTCGACACAGCATGATGTTAGAGTGGTAAGGCATACGCTTGCAGTTACGCAGTGTAGATTTTTTAGGTGTTTAGGTGTTTACTATTTTATATGCATTCTTATGTGATGCGTCATATCGAAATTAGTGCSTAGTTACTCCGAGGAAAGCAATCGGAGTAAGAGAGTATTTATTGGCGTTTTTCAAATTATCATTTCGTTATGAGTAGTTAATAAGCTAAATTATTATCCTTAGTGACATCCAATCGAACCATTATGTATTTAATGTAGGACAAACTGCTTTTCAATTGATAAAACAATCTGCCATGAAAACGTGGTAAGTAGTTATGATTGTTTAACTAAATTGCAAATTCATTTAGTGCACGTTTCTATGAATAAAGYAAGTAGACCTGAATTTCAAAATCTTTTTATTACGTACACTCTTMATCAAGTTACCTTTTACGTCCTGGAAGACAAATGCTATTCTTCGCACAGTAGGCAGTTACTTCATGCGCTACACTGCTTTTAAACTTAAGGTCRAAATGCTGATTCCACTGAAAAGTATACAAAAAGAAGGAGCWATGCTWCAATATTGAAAAGTAGCAACACAGTACGCTGCCAAAGMAACAGAAAAAAGTAGAAATATATAATCTTGATCAGCTGTATTCGCAAATTTTGATAAGTGTGATTTTGCTGAAAAGCAATTTTCAGAAGAAGTCGTAYTWTAAAATGTTGCAAACTTACGGTTGTAGAAAGAGCTTAATCGTTTTATTTTTACCTCAGAAATGTTGAGTTCATTGATTTTAACGCTGACAGMATTACGAAGATCGTCTTTTGAGGGTGTTGGTGGCTTTGGTGGAGRTCCAGTAGTTGSCTTCTGCGCAACAGTAGAACGTTCTTAAAACATATGMGATTATCAGCTGAGATTGAAAATTCGGATAGTAGATATGAATAGAATCCAGGACAAGCTGACAGTTTTAGGTAGAATAGGATGAATGAGAGACCGAATATATTCATTCTACTTGATATTCAACATCGAATAGAATAGGAGATTACAAGGAGCAATATTTCGGTTTTATTGCAAAACCATCATCAGGCTAATATTTTACAAAAGCGCAAGGCCAATACAATATATACTAGATAGATGAATTAATTAAACAAAGTTAATTCTCCAGAGGCGCGGAGGCCAGTGTTTAAGGATGGTTTGTTTTGTTTGATGAAAAATGCTTCTTTATATAGTAGAAGATTCCAATTATTGTCACTACTTATAGACCCCTTGCAGTTCATGGGAATGCGGCTCCAACTGGAGGACAAAACAATGGATTCTAGTTCCCAAGRGRDYMAAAATCTTTTGTTTTGTCCTCCAGATGAAGCTGCTTTGACGTCACATGCAAGGGGTCTATAACAGAGGTGTTGTTCTGCACGATGTTTTTATAAAATTGGCGCTCATCAAACTTGTCTACATCATGGATGGATATGAATTTTGATGGATATGAATAGCTGACTTGCGAATTTTGCCTCAGGAGTCTCGCGCACAAAGGAATCAAGACGAGGCGCCGTGCATAAAGCTAAGTAATTCCTTAAAAGCACAATAGTTTTTCACAATTGACTGAGCTTTATGCACGGCGCCTCGTCTTGATAATTTCCTTTGGATTGACTACTGAAGCGAAATTCGCAAATCGGCTATTTGAGCAAATTACAAAATTGCAAGTATACCGATCCAAAGCTATAGAGTCAATGAACATGAAACTTAGCTTACTTGTTGAACAATAGTAACAGTTACTTCGTCCTAACCCAACTGCAGTTAGCCTCTAACTTTCACGAGGTATTGGTTAGCAGGCGAAAGATCCTTTTGACGACTACTAATGTTCCATTTGTTTTTATTTCTATAACTTCTTTTTATTTCTTGAAATTACACTGGTTTTAAAGCTACATGTGACTGTCTCATTTTCTTCCGAATTTTCCAGTTACATAAACGTAGTGCCAATAATCATTCGCAACGTTTTATGCCCAAAAATATTAATTTTATCCATAGCGGTTGTGTGATTAACAAATTTACCACGGTTGACGCCATCTCTTCGTAAAAAAATATGTTTGTTTATGTGTTTTGACGAACAAAAAGAGAATCGATAAGATTTATACAGCCTTGAATGGCTTTATAAATTGATGAAACTTGTATTGGAAATAAGTATTTTCATCCGCTTGTGAAACAATTACTACTCGTCCAGTGTTTAATAGTGTCTAATAGTTGTATTCCAATAATTAAAGAAAGCAATGGGTGTAGAGGCTACTAGCGTCAATTGGCGTAGGAACTTTTTTATAGTCCGATGAAAATCACYMTAATCAGTCTCATGTTCGTTGATACTGCGACAAATTTTCTCTAAATAGYCGCTATTCGTTAATAGAGTGCARATAATATACCCGTGAAATAGATAGAGTACACACACACTGAATACGCAAGAAAACGTTTAAGAATCTTTATATATTTGCGCTGCTGCAAAATCAAGACACAAGCCACATTCAAGGCTCTGTTTACATGAGATAGAGTTCCCCTATAGGTGTAGAGCCAAACTCTTTTGTTTTCAATCCTCCAGGGAAACGAAAACAAAGGAGTTAGCCCTAACACGTAGGGGCACCCTATCTCATCTAAACAGGGACTAAAGCTAACGCGTTTAATAAAGAATCTTTTAATCTCTGACGAGCAAAATCAAAACAGAAGACATTATAAGGCTAAAAACAAAATAACCAATATCAAGAACAAGTACGCAAATGAGCGTGTTTTTTAACGAGTTCATTTAAGGGTAAACTAAAAGGTTTCCAAACCATTCCCCTCTATTAACTATGCTTACAAAAATCAGCAGCGCAGTTTTAAATTTGTACTTTGCTCGAAGTTCAATGTAAACCGAAAGAGGAGTTTATCGCTTCTACGKAAATGTTTGTGAGATAMGTACCTTTTTAGCATGGGACTTTAACTACCAAAACACTATTTCCAGCAGCATGTGTAACAGTTATTAAGTGTAGCTGGCTAGTTGAGCTCTGACGAAAATTACATGTGCATAAACGGTACGAACGTGCACTTTCACGACTCACATATTTCTCAACTAAGTASAGTCATTTTCATCCGTCTGTGAAACAATTACTATACTAGAGTCAGTGTTTAATAGTGACTATTAGGGTGTAGTAAGCTACCAAAAAGCAAAAGCAAAACCATGTTTGCCTAATTTGTTTGTCGCATGTCATAAGTTAAACTATTTGGAGCGAATAGGGGGGAAATAGTATTTAATAGTACAATTCCTGTTTCACAGACGGACGAAAATGACTCTATCTTTTTTACGGATATATCATTTGCACTCTATTAAGATTGGTTYTATTTCATGGTTTTCCTGCTCTAATAATACCCTTACCTCCGATAGTTGTTAATCCCAGGCCTAGCAAGGTAGAGATCAAAAGACAAAACATCTTTGCTGGTATAAAGGCTTCACAGCTGGTGTGTCAGGACTGAAATAATAGTCTTTTCCTTGTTTACTTGACACGGAGGTAATTATCCAATGGTGCATAATAGAAATGCCAAATAAGGAGTTACTCTCTCATTCTTAATATAAAAGACTAAACACCACGAGCAGCGAGCGAGAGAAGATTCTAAAAATATTTTTTTGTTTACTTTATGCAAGAAAAGACAGAGACTAAKGAATGCATAATWTATAMCTATGACTGAACTGGTCAACTGAAACCGCAGAGAGTACTTCCTAAAGCATTTTTGAATGAAGTCTATTTCAGGCCCTAACATCGCCGTCATTTTGGGCAATTTTAGGCGATTTTAGGAACTGGAGCAGGCCTTGAATACCTATCTTACCATTCCTTGTCGTCTGTACTTTATCTCGGTTGATTTGTGATATTTACAAGAAGCATTTAGGGGCTAGAATCATCTTTCAGCCCAATGATTATAGTTGAATTCATCCTGAATCATTCAAGCACTCGCTCTTCCTACTCCTCTCACATTTAATGGATAAAACTTTGAGTCAAAGTCGTGTACTAATTAAAAATAACTTAAGTTCTTTTAAGAATTAATATTATTAAATATATGAAAATTTAAATCCACAGATTCAGAAAATCGGTGTGATATGTTTACAACTAATTCTTCATTTTCACCATACGTCACAGCGGCCATCTTGGATGAACTTCAACAAAAGATTTCTCATTAGTATCTATTGTTCATTCCTCCAACATGGCCGCCGGTCTTTTATCTTTTGAATCTCATGGGAATGATTGAAAACGATCAATAATCAGTCGTGCAACAAATGTCCTCTYATTGACAATTAAATYATGACGTCATAAAATGTTCAAAACTCAAGTRGATCCAMGAGCGCATTCTTTTTTTAACACATTTTTAGTCTAAAAATAAGAGAAAATCAACGTTGATCTAAAGATGCAAGATTAAGAAAATTTGTTTAACAATTGTTTTTACMAGAGAAATATAGAACAGAAGTTTATAATAATAAAAGAATGTTATTATTTAATTATCTTTTTTGGCGAGTTACATTGCGAACTTCTCATGGATTATTTTTTTTGTATGATGTGTTTTGCAATTGAATCAGGCTTGAAATTCTAACGTCTCGCCTTTAGCTTGTACTGCAACAAGTTCTGGTTGTGTTATTGAACAATCAGTTACATCAGCACGCTCGAGGGTAACGGAACAACGTAATAAAGATATCCCATTGAATGTTGAAATTATTCGCTTTCTCTGACACTTGAAAACACGTTGAAAACCATTGCGAAAAGATTTGATGAAGAGAAAATATATAAAAGGGTTGATTGCAGAGTTAAAAGTTACAGCTAATGAAATAATTGCATACAACAAATCATTTCTAACAAGATTAAGAAATTGAAAGAACTCATCCAACCCAAAAATAATACTTGGTATGACACAACAGATATAAAATATAACTGTCACTAAAATGGCTACTTTTAAACCTTTTTYTCTCGCTTTATGCCTTGCTCTTTGTGTTTCATTCTCAAGCATTTCGTCTGTTGTTCTTAAAGCAAGAAATGCACGAATATAGAAGCCAGTCATAGCAATGGAGGGAATAACAGATAGCCCAATAACAAGCACTCCAAAATAAGCTTCGCTATTAAACCAAGGATAGATTTTGTACATGCAAACACCATATTTGCTGTTGTATTGAACAGTGATGATGTCAACGATATAAAAACCAGATCCTGTAAGCCGTATGCGAGCGAACGTTGTTTTAGTTAAAAAAAGACCCACTTGCGTAGAGAACAAAAGAAAGCACGAACAAATGTTAACAATATAATAGCTCCAGAAATTTGAACCTTCTTTTATTTTAGGCTAAGCCTGTATTCCCCACACTAGAGTTTGATTCTTTAAATTTGATATTTTTAAACATTCAATCAAATTATACAAGCAAGCACTACATTCACAAATACCAATTACATAGTTTTGCGTTCAATAAAAGTTGATAAA